TACATTTTTAATACAACTGGACTGTTTTGTCAGCTTATGCATCCAAACCTGGAACCCCTTGGCTTCTTGAAAGCTTTTCTCACTTGAAGACAAGAGGGTTCACTCCAATGCACAGCCCTACCGTGCCCATTGCATACCCACAATGACAGCCTCATGCAGAATCATTTCACTGCTCCAAAAGTTCCTCTGTGCTCCCCCTGAGTCCTGAACAGACTTTTATTTACTCACTGTAGTATTGCTATTTCTAGAGCAGCATAACTTGGGAACATACAATCCATACCCTTTGGAGATCCTTCCTTTACTAAGTAATATGCCTCTAAGATTCATGTGTATCTTTCTCAAGTTAAATTGCTCCCTACTTTTTACATCATGAACTGATGTTCCATTGTGCATACTGACCAAAACAGGTCTCTCCATTCACTTCTTGAAAGACACTAGGGCTAGGTTCATAAGCCTTGGCAATAATGAAAATAGAGCTGCTGCAGACACTACTGTGTAGGTGCTATTTGGGCCATTAGCTTCTTGATTAGTGGAGAAAATACTAGTGATGCGCATGTGTTATGTGACAAGAACAGATTTATTTTTGTCTGACATGGCCACACTGTGTTGTAATATAGCTAGGCCAGTTTTTATTCTCAGAGCATTGAATGAGCATTCAGGCTGCTCCTCATCCTGATCAGCATTTTATGATATTGCTTGTTTGAGATTTGGGGCATTCTGGTTATTTGCAGGAGCATCATATTGGTGTTTGCACTTGCGGTTCTCTAGGGAGAACGTGTTGATCATCTTTGCCTACACCAATTGCTTTTGGTACATATTTCATGGTGAAATGTATACTTTAGACCACCTCCTCTTTTTTGTTTGTCTTTTAGGACAGGGTCTCACCATGTAGTCCAGGCTGCCCTCAGACCTGCAGCAATCCTCCTGTATCAGCCTTCCAAGTGCTATTCCTCCTTTATAAATTACAGTTTTCTCATTGTTAATGACACAGGTTTTTTCAGTATTTTGAATATAAGTTTTATGGGACACTTTTTTGGCAAATATTTTCTCCCACTCTGAGGCCTGTCTTCTGTCTCTTGGATACAGGTACCTTCATAGCGTCTCTTGCTCTGTAGAAAGATTTTGGTTTTTACTTTGTTTTCTGTTTGTTTTAGTAAAGTTCCAGTGGCCAGTTTATTCTTTCATGGATTTTGCATCTAATAGCTCTTCACCAAATCTTGAATGATTTTAAACTTATTCACTTATATAATTATTGACCACTGCTCTGTGTAGGAGACATGGTTGCCTGTCACACTGTTTGCTGAAGTACCTTTAGCAAGGTGGACAAGCCTGTGGATGAAAGAGAATAAATGCAGAAGAACAGGCTGCAACCAACACCAAATGTCTTTGAAGTCTCTTGTTGAGCCTTAACATCTGTGAGCATCGGCTATCTCTTTTACTATACAACCATGTTTATTTAAATCTTTTTTTCTTTCTTTCTTTTCTTTTCTTTCTTGCTTTCTTTGGTACAGGGTCTCACTACACAGTTTGGACTCCTAGTGATCCTCTTGTCTCAGCCTCCCCAGTGCTGCATCATTACACCCTGGCATGCATCACTACACCCGGTTTTAGTGGCCAGCTTGGCACAGGCCCAGTATGGCATGCAGTACCCCAAATCAAACCCAGGTCCTGGCACTTGCCAGGCAGGCTCTCAGACCTCCGAGCTATCTCCCTGGCCCCAGCCGTACTTATTTTAATATAACAGCATGCTATTTTTGCTGGAGCACTCAGTCACATGCTTGCACATGCAAGCCCTGCCGCCACCATCCTGATAAAGCAGGTGAGTTAGTAGCAAATGTTTACTGATGGGTGATTGATGACCTCCAGCACAACAACATGCTTCTTCCAGAAATGTGCCCATTGGTTTGAAAGGAAACAGGCCTACAGAGATGGCAAAGCTCAGCCACCTTGTCACACAGCCCAGGACTTCACTTCATGAATGGCCACGTCACCCTTGTGCAGGGGCCATGCTAATCTTCACTGTGTTGTTCCAATTTGAGTACCAGACCCGATATTGCAGTCCCTAGACAGAGACCCCAAAGCCATGCTCACTCACAGAGAGCCCTGGGGGATCCCCAGCATAAAGCCTGAGTCAGACACAGGGGCTGGGAGGCTGATGGGAACCTCATTCAGGGAGCCACCCCCTCCCACCCACTGTGCAGCTCCCCCTGGCTTCACAGCCTCCAGCCTTGTACCCTGTAATTTGGGCTTCTCTCTCCCTCCAAAGCATAAACCACCAAAAGGGAAAAGCAGCCCCAAGATGCACTTGTCTCAGAGGTGCAGGAACGTGAGAAGGAACTGGCCCCAGGACGATGGTAAGGAATCTGAAGAAAATATATCATTTTTAAATGATAAAAAGCTTTCTATACTCAAACAACTTTTGCTGAAACAACGATGCACACAACAAAATGCATGGAGAGAACTTGTAATTACACCAAATTAAACTGTGTCCCAGCGCCTACCCGGCTGTGAGAACCTTTTATTTCTCCGTGCAGGCCTGTGTGATGGCCAGGCTGGGGTGGCCACACTCTAAAAGCAGCGGCTCCCTGGGAGAAAGAGGTCATTCTCCGAGCGCAGTGGCCTTTGCCCTCCGGCGCTGGGGCCTGATGGCTCCTTTGGAAAGAGTGGGAGCCTCAGCATCTCTGTGAGGACAGCTTGCAGGGTCCAGTGCCTGTCTGGGAAGGGACCCAAGGGACAGAACGGACTCCCCAGATGTCAGCATGTGTCACATTGGTGCCCACAAAGCCAGCCTTTGTGCAGGGCCCAGTGATCTGGCAGGTGTCCTTGGAGTCCAAGACCTACATTTAAGCCTCAGGGGCACCACTGGTCAGGTGTGACCTCACTTGACTTCTCTGGGTCTCTTTCTGGTGCAAAGCAAAGCAAACAGGTTTTGAGTGGGGCTGGACAGGCAGCACTGGCCTACAACATCAGGTGGATTTCCCGTGGGACTGGCCTTTGCAACTGGCTGCTGGATTTGAAGTCTTGTGGGTGCCGCAAGTTTCATCCAGATGTGCGTGAGCACAGAGCACAGAGCCTTTAGCTGGTCCTTGCCTTTTCCTGCATCTGCTGTGAAGTCCCCACCACCCTCGCTCACCTTGCCACCTAGACCTGCAGCTTTGCCTCTGCCCTGCCAACCTCTGAACCCCAAGCGTCTGTGGGGCAAGCTTCAGGGTGACTCCTGCCATGCCCACCTCAAAGGCTCCTGCATGGAACGCCAAGCCCGCTCTGAGCTGTGTAACCTACGGACCCAGCTGGGCCAACAGCTCTCCTGCTGAGAGGCCAAATGTTATATCAAGCTATTTACATTTTTTAACTAATTTGCTTCTCACACCAACCCTGTGGAGAAGGTGTAGTTTCCTACTTCACAGAAAAGTCAAAAAACAGAGAAAGTGACTTCCCAAGGTTACAGCTCTCCTTCACGTCATGGTACATAGCTTGGCATCGCATTTGATGCTGGGCAACTCTGAACAGATAACAGCTGGGCTTGTGCGTGTCCTTCTGCTGGCCCAGGCACCCTTCCTTGCTATCCTGATGGGGTCCTATTGCCGTTCATCTCCCTGTCTTGAGATCTGCGCTGTCCTTGTGGCCTTATGAGACAGGACTGTGTGCCAGCTCTAACTCCCTCTTCCTATCCCCGTGGCCCAAAACTGGGCCTACTGGTTGCACAGGTGGACTAATTAGTGCATGAGTGGAATGAAGGAATGAAGAACGAATGAATGAATATATGAATGAATGAATGAATGTAAAACAAATAAAGTGAATGGGCAGAACAAGATTAGGCTATGCTAATAGCAATACCTGTTCTCAGCCTCACTAGAGTTGGGGATGGGGCTACCCAAAGAACCCCAGATCTGAATCATTCTTAGTGCAATGGCAAACAGAAACACCAAACCATCACCCAATAAGCAGAGACAGATTTATTTACATTGATGGGCACCGACCTCAAGAAAAAATATCAAGCCTCTAAGACTCAAGGAAGGAGATTTTTAAGGGGCTGCAAAAGGGAAGTATAGGGCTGGTGGCACACCTCAGTGGTCTCAAGTGCCTGCTTAGGCAAGCTTAGGCAAGCCTAGGGACCGGGTTTTGATCCCCGGCACCACATGCCACGCCAGCCCTGCTCCCAAGGTGGGCTGAGCCAGCCACAAAAAATAAATGAAATAAAATAAAATAAAACAAGTACAAATACAAAAGTGGGGTGGGGAAGTATAGGGTAAAGTACTTGGCTATCTTTGATTGGTTCTTGCAAGGTGTGCCACAGCAATCAGCCTTTCCTAGGAGATAGTAGTAACAGGAACTGTAACAGGAACTGAAGTAAACTGGAGGTTACCTGGGCAACTGAGAGAAACCGAAGTATACTGGTTGGGGGTACACTTTCTGTTCCAATGAGCCATCACACGAGAGCTTTTGAGGACACACACTGAGCAGTGGAAACCATGGGGGAGACAAAGAGTAGAACTTTGTTGCTGCTGAGCTTGCCTCTCTCATACCCTCCTAAAGCCTTCCAGGCAGGTGACTGTGATAATTAACTGTGGTGTCAGCTTGAAGGAGAAATGCCTAGTGGGCTGGTCCAGCACAGCTCTGGGTGTGTCTGGATGGCTGACTTACTAGAGAGGGCAGATCCACCCTAGACTTGGGCTTGTAACCTGGGTGGAATAAAAAGGGAAAGAAAGAGAAGGTCTCATTCCTGCTTCTTCAGAGAAGCAGTCTTCCCCAGAGTCTTCACCACAGACTCTTCAGCCTTCTTGGAACTTCCTACTAGGGACCACACGGGACTCTGCAGGAGCTCCAGGTCTTTGACCTTTGACTGGATCTTCCAGCTTTCCAAAATGTAGACTGCCCTTTGCCTACTTATACCCTTCCACACCTGACTCTTCAGTGCGGCCACTGTGAGGTTATCTTATGAACTACTATATCTGTTTCTTCAGCAAGCCCTAACTAAGGCAGTGGCCATCAATAAGTATTGGCTTGGAATTCAATCGATCCATTCATTCATCTAAGATATATTTATGAAACCAGATGCTTTTCCAAGCAATGGGATACAGCAATGGATAAGGCGGGCCTATTTCCAGAGAGACACAAAGGAATTCGTTTTCTGATTGGATTATGTGATGTTACACCAGCATTACTTATGGCTATGGGAGCAGAAAAGAGAAAGAGAGAAAGGCAATGGATGGGGGGAGAGCACAGATCTGTAGTTTCGCCACCAGCACTGTTATTTCAGCCCAGTTGCTTAGCTTTTCTCTGTCCCCCAGATGTACTACTTACGGTGGTGTGGCTTCATCCGTCCTGCCCCACACAGGGGCACTTGTTCACACTGGGAATGCTGTGATGGTAGGAATGCTGCAGAACTGTGAGAAGGTGACAACTTGTTGGCTCAGTGACTTTAGTCACATGACTCATCTCTTCAAACCTTTACTGCCTCACCCACAAAATGGGAACAGCAATGCCCGCTAGGCATACCCTGCAGATCTCTCCACCCTCCCACCCAGGAGAAGAGAAGGCTTTGGGCACAGTGAGGAGAGCAGGCCTGTAACTCTGCCATAGGCCTGAGGCAAATTAGTTCAGACCTCACTTGTGAGACCAAGGTCTCCCTTAGATGGCTCCCTCGACCCCTCAGACCCTCAGTGTCCCCTGTATCTCATGGTGTCACAAGAGCCGGATGAGTGACAGAGGTGGAAGCCTTTTCAAATGCTGCCGTCCCATGTGAAGGGCACTGCGGGTTCCAGGGATGCCCACTTACACCCTTCCATACCTGACTCTGCAGTGTGGCCATTGTGAGGCTGTCTTGTGAACCATTACATCTGTTTCTCCAGCGAGAAGTATATTGGCTTTGTGAGAGGTGCTTTCAGGGCCCAGCGCCTGCCCCGGAAGGGACCCAAGGGAACAGACGCACTCTCCAGACATCATGATCCTCCTGGCAGTAGAATTTTAAATGATAAAAAAGCTTTCTATACCCAAATAACATTTGCTGAAACAACAATGCACACCCCCACCCCCACTCCCCACTCCATCGTTCCCCAACCCCCCACCTCCTGCAGCAATGTGGGCCACGGGAACTGAGTCAGTCTTCAGGAAAGAGCGCTCTTGAGTGCGAATGGAGCCCTTACAGAAGAGGCCCAATGCAGCTTGTTTCTTTCTCTGCCATGCAGGCACTCAACTGAAAACACCACCTGAGAGGGACAGGCCTTCCCTCACCAGGCACCAAATCTGCTAGCATCTGGGTGTCGGATTTCCCAGGCCCAGACCTGTGAGCAGCAATCTCCTGTTATTGAATGTAAACCACTCAGTCCATAAACCATTTGAAAAAGTAGAGCCTAGGTGAGGGCTGGCCAAATAGCTCAATGGATTAAAGCGCCTGCAAGCAGGCACAGGGGCTGTGGTTCAATCCACAGGCCTGCGGTGCTGGCCCCACCCTCTGGGCACACTGCGACAGCAATTGAGACTGGGCATGGTGGTATGCGCCTGTAATCCCAGCTCTTGGGAGGCTATAAACAGGTGGATTACTACAAGCCCAATCTAGTAGTGAGATCTTGAACACCCTGTAGACCCTTCCCTAAAATACAAAAAATAAAATAAAATTTAAAAGTAGAAGCTATGGAAAGAACAACTAAAATGACTTCCATCACTCGCAGACATCTGTGGATTTATCGCTTTATTCTTGAGATGACCCCATGTATTATACAGGAAAGAAAGGAGTTTCACTATTAGAGAAGCCTTTCCTGAGAAAGACCAAGAGACCGGCTGCTACACCTCAGTCTCCAGGGCCTGTGGCCCCACAACAGCTCCTGGGCTGTCAGGGGTGCCAACAACTGGGCTGAGAACGGCACAGCCGAGCCAACAGGACACCCCCTCTGCCAACCTGCACCTCTGCCAGGCTTCTGGGTCAGATTTCTAAAGCAGCCTCACCCACCAAGCCCTCAAATTATGACCCTTTTACTTTCTGCACCTTTAAGTGTACATGCCAAACTCAACAAGAATAACGAGATAAAAAAATTTTTTTCTCCTATTTTGTGTAGAAAAAT